AGACCTTATCTGGCTTGGAGAGCTGCCAGGCCGATATCTGCAAAACTTGGCAAGGAGTCTCAAAGAATCACGAGCCAATTAAGCGAACTCATTGTCTCCTGCAAACTCCACTCCCGTTTCGCTCCTCTTTTATTTCCTCTGGGAAATAAAATTCACCGTCCATTCACTGTCCACCTGTGGTCTTACTCCCAAGTCGACCCCTGTTCTTTAGCTGTTCCCTTCATCTGGCAACTGCCCATGCGCACACTGGGAACAGGCTCCAGCTGTTCCTCTGCCTCACTGATGTCTGACTCTGAAGGCAGCTGATAACTGGCATATGCCCCTGGCCCCCTCTCTGCCTCCGACACAGAGCCCTCATCAGAGCCTTCCCCAGACTCCAGGACTGGCCCATCTTCCTCATGTTTTTCTCAAAAAAGTACAATTGCTTCTTGAAAAAAGAACCTTTGGGACAACCATGACCTGAATGAGTGAGAATCTCCCTTGATGTTCAACCCCTCAGATATTGTAACCCCCTTATTTTGTGTCACCCCTATTTCTTCAAATGACTGCTGCGTTCAACATCCAGAAGTTAATTCCTGCTTACGTGGAATTATACATTTTCCTATCGGAGCAGACTTCACATTTTTAGTCAAAGAAATTGGCTGGTTTCTTTGTTGATCTGTCTGTTTCTTTGCCACATTTTTCCTTTTTTCCCCAAGGTTTTTTTATTTCTTAATACAAATTATACATTTTATAGGAACAAAGAGTTGTCTTTTACATCCTCTCATTTACAGAGTCCTTTTTACATCAGAGTTTTGTTTTGCCTTCCAGCCAATTTATTCTCTTCCATTATTGTTCATCTTTATGATTGTTTTTTCTTCATACATAAACAATATCTTCCATGGCCCCTTCAAAGTTACGCCAAATTTTCCTTTCTTATTTTCTCCATTGGTATATATTCTATACCAATGCTAGCTATACTATAAACAACATATATCTTCTAATTCAATTTAAACGTAGAGAGCATTTCTTTCATTTTTTTCTTCCATTAACAATATTCTATCATTTGTTTATTTCTTAATTAATGGCATAACAGTAACAATCTTACTACTATTCTCTTTGGTCTACTAATGTAACTCTTTCCCCCGTCTTTCTCTTTTAACCATTTTCTCTTGGGCTCTCAAATATTTCACTTCAAATTATTTTTCTTCTTCTCCCCCTTTCTGCAAACTTCTTCTTTTTCTTTTTCCTATTTTTGTGGTTATTGTGAGATACGCTCTCCAATTTTTTTTTGTGTGAGAGAGATTATGCTGTGAGATTGTTATGTAAATATGGTTTGACGTGAACAAGCAAGATATACGTAGAGAGTCCATTAATAGCATACATTCTCTAATTCAATTTAAGCACAGAGAGCATTTCTTTCAATTTTTTTCCTTCAATTAACAATATACTATCATTTCTTTATTTCTTAATTAGTTGCCTCACAGTAACAATCTCACTACTATTCTCTTTAGTCTACTAATGTAACTCTTTCCCCCTTCCTTCCTCTTTTAACCGTTTTCTCGTAGGCTCTCAAAATATTCCAGTTTTAATTCATCCCCTTCTTCTCCTCCTTTCCCCTAACTTCTTTTTCTTTTTCCTATTTTTGTGCTTGTTGTGTCTTTTCTTCAGAGCATTTACTTTTATTATTCTAGTAACTTTCCTCAGGGTTTCCTCTGTTTTCCTCCTTTCCTTACTATTTTGTGGTTTCTTTTTTTGGGGGGGGGAGAACTCTTCTCTCTGCTTTTTCTTTGTGGCACATTTTTCTTTCACATCTCCATTTCCCTTTCAAAAAAATAATAATAATAGGACGTGACACCTTCTTGATACCGGTGCCGTTTTTGTGAAATTTCACAACTCCTGGTGGGCACTTCTGCTTATCATTGCGCTGTTTATCTTATGCTTGCAAGGAATCTTTAATAGAAACAAACCCTGGGACTTCAAAAACCCCTTTAGGTCAAACTTTTTAAAGACAAGAAAAGTGATTCTGAATAATACATAAATCGCCACGGAAAGGAAGGGCAGGCCTCTCTCTCAGCAGCAACATCCCTGAGATGTAATTAACTGTTTATGTATTCTGGAGAGATCTATTAAAGCCACAAACGATTATTCTGCAGAAGTGGGGCCAAATGGTGCATTAGTGCCTCTTATCACTAAATTAATCAGCAGATTTAATTCATCCCCATCGTTGCGGTCACAAGCACAGGGATAGCATCTGAGGCCAAACTTTATTTGCTACTAGCCAATAATCCGGCATTGCCCGGGTATTTATTTATAGGGGGAAAATGTCCGGACCAAACGTAATTTCTAATGTTGGATTTTCCACCTTACCAGAGGGAGCCCCCTTGCGGAGTACTGTGAGGCCATTACCATGGCAATTCCACTGCGCTGCAGAGAGAAGCCATTTTATGGCAGTACAGTAGAAGCCCATTTTAAGGCACAACAGGCTGTATCTTAACAGAACACATACCCTGAGGGGTTTTAGGCGTGTCTTCCCCCCCCAGCATTTTTGTTTCCAGAGAATAAGACATCTGTGTACCAAGTTTACACACACACACACACACACGGATGTGGTACCTTCTCCTTGTTATTATTTTGTCGGTGGTAGAGTTTGAGGCCAGCGATCAGATCTCTGTTGAAAACCGTTCCCATTATCTTCCTAGGAGATTGGCTAATGGAACACAACTTCTTTGTGTGCGTGTGTGTGTGTGTGTGTGTGCGCGCGTGTGTGTGTGTGTGTCTGTGTGTGTGTGTAGTTTTCTGAAGAATAAAGATAAAGTTGTGTCCGTCTCTAGGAAATGTTGCTCATCTTGGCTAGTGTTGCCCAAAGACAATTTCTGTGGTCTTGTGGTCACCATGGCTACACGGATGGAAGGCTGTTATCTTCCCACTGAAGTCACCATCCTCATTTAATGACCCTATAATCCCTTCCGGGGTGGCGTCTGGGCAACTGAATGGAGTGGAATGTTTTACTGGCCAGATGCCCTTCCCTGTCGCCAATGCGGAGTTATATTCAGCAGATATATTCTCAATGTGCCCAGAGAGAGAAATATCTGCCTCTACCTAGGATTGAACTCACAGTCTCCTGATTGTGAGGTGAGAGCTCCACCTCTAGGCTACTGCACCACTCCCACTGAAGTGGTACCTATTTATCTACTTGCATTTGCATGGTGGCCAGGGACTGAACAACAGGAGCCTGAAGACTAACATCACTCTTATTTTCAATTATCTCATCAAAATGCAGAAGAGAGGCACCATTTACCTTGCGTTGTCCCTCCCGTGGGATTTCAAGAAGTTCATGTTCCGGTATCTGGACAGGAATGCTACAAGCTGGTCGTTCGTCCTGTGAAACATTTGGGATGGGGGAAAGAATATTAAAAAAAAGGCCAATGTTTGTCCTCGTCACCAATGCTGTTCTGACTGACGCTTCCCAAGAGCCTGAAGCAAACTCCTGGTCCCAACAAAAAACCTTTTTATTAATTGNCTCAAACACTTTGGCCACCTGATGAGAAGGAAGGACTCCCTGGAGAAGAGCCTCATGCTGGGAAAGATGGAGGGCAAAAGAAGAAGAAGGGGACGACAGAGAATGAGGTGGCTGGATGGAGTCACCAAAGCAGTCAGCATGAGCTTAAACTCCAGAGGATGGGAGAGGACAGAAAGGCCTGGAGGAACATTGTCCATGGAGTTGCGATGGGTCGGACACGACTTTGCAACTAACAACAACAATATATCTAGAAGTTGGGGAAGGTTCAAAGCTGCTGAAACCAGCACTGAACTTTTTTGCAATCTGAGTCCCTTCCAGATGTGGGGACTTCAACTCCCAGAATTCTCCAACCAGCTGAGGACACTCAACTGGAGAATGGCTGTTGTCCTAGATCCAGACACGACCATCTGATCTTGCATAAGACTCTCTTTTTTTCCTGTGTTCCAAGAAGAGCAATTTAGAGTTGAAACACAATCCAATCCTTGAATTGTTTTCCAACGGGACAGCCAACACTTTCTGTTCCATTTTCTTAGCAAGATCCCTTCCCCCCCACCCTTTTAACAGCAACTTCAAAAACGCATTTGTTAAAATTGGGTAGACTTTAAAAGAGCCAAGAATGGCAGGGTGTAAAGTACAAGCAATAAATGGGGTTTATTGTTTCATTAGAGCAAACCAGGTGCTTTTATATCAGGGAACTCAGCGTAATAGAACAATCTCCATAAAGTAGATCTGTTTCTAAAGGCTTTGAAGCTTATCTCCCTCTTCACCTCCTTCCCACCTACCTCAAAAACAAAATCGTACTCAATTCACTAACACCGGGGTAAGCAGGGTGAAATTTCCAAGGAGAGAGAAGAAGGTGAAATGCCATCACACCCTGGGGAGAATGTGAATGCTGGTAGGACCACAAGGCTCAAAAATATCCCCTAATGGGTTCCCTTTTTTTCCTCCCCCCCACAAATAAAAACCAATGCTATAAACCCCCATCGCCATAAATATTTGATTCTGAGTCAAATATTTGACTCAATCATCCACCTGGAGATTCTAGAACCTCTGCGTTAAAATTGCAAAGTGTTGTGACCTAGGCTTCCCCCAAACCACAAAGCAGACTCCTGGTCCCAACAAAAATCCCTTTGATTTAATTTACTATAAATTCTTCTCATTTGCATCCAGCAAAGTCTTTCAAGGGAGGATTTATGGTCACAGACCTTATCTGGCTTGGAGAGCTGCCAGGCTGATATCTGCAAAACTTGGCAAGGAGTCTCGGAGAATTACGAACCAATTAAGCGAACGAATTGTCTCCTGTAAACTCCACTCCCCTTTCGCTCCTCTTATGTTCCCTCTGGGAGGGGCCATTCATCGTCCACCTGTGGCCTTACTCCCAAGTCGACCCCTGTTCTTTAGCTGCTCCTTTCCTCTTGCAACTGCCCATGCGCACACTGGGAACAGGCTCCAGCTGTTCCTCTGCCTCACTGATGTCTGACTCTGAAGGCAGCTGATAACTGGCATATGCCCCTGGCCCCCTCTCTGCCTCCGACACAGAGCCCTCATCAGAGCCTTCCCCAGACTCCAGGACTGGCCCATCTTCCTCATGTTTTTCTCAAAAAAGTACAATTGCTTCTTNTTTCAGACAGATGGCTATCCAACACCTTCTTAAAGACTTCCAGTGTTGGAGCATTCACAACTTCTGGAGGCAAGTTGTTCTGCTGATTAATTGTTCTAACTGTCAGGAAATTTCAGTTCTAGGTTGCTTCTCTCCTTGATAAGCTTCCATCCATTACTTCTTGTTCTACACTCAGGTGCTTTGGAGAATAGCTTGACTCCCTCTTCTTTGTGGCAGCCCCTGAGATATTGGAAGACTGCTATCATGTCTTCCCTACTCCTTCTTTCTATTAAACTAGACATACCCAGTTCCTGCAATTGTTCTTCATATGTTTTAGCCTCCATTCCCCAAATCCTCTTTGTTGCTCTTCTCTGCACTCTTTCTAGAGTCTCCACATCTTTTCTACATCGTGGCGACCAAAACTGAATGCTAGATTCCAAGTGTGACCTTAGCAAGGCATCATAAAATGGTATTAACACTTCATGTGATCACGTGTTATCCTAAATGGATGCCAAGTTTAGAGTTCTACTATTCGGATAGGGGTACTGCTGGCAAACGGCAACCTGGTTCAAAACCAGCTAACCATGTTGGAGTCACACACCTCATAAAAACCATAATATGACTTTACAATTTGCATACGAATGTCATTTGGTAAAGTTGAATTTTTGGCTAGCTCAGCCAATGAAGGCTTTAGTCAATACACAATAATTTAGCTTTCAATTTGCATTCAGGTTGCAGAGAATGTCCAGTTGACAGAACAGATAACAGAATGAGTTGGAAGGGACCTTGGAGGTCTTCTAGTCTAACCCCCAGCTGAAGCAGAAGTCCCTATCCCGTTTCTGACAAGTGGCTGTCCAGTCTCTTTCTCAAAGCCTCCATGGATGGAGCACCCACACCTTCTGAAGGCAAACCATTCCACTGGTTGATTGTTCTCACCGTCAGGAGATTTCTCCTTAGTTCTAAGTTGCTTCCCTCCTTGATTAGTTTCCACCCATTGCT